TACTATCTGTATTACCAGTAAATACTCGCTCTTCAATTAAATAATCTCTTACTGAAAGTTTCAATAAAATATTGGTGGATTCTAGTTCTTTTCCAAGTAATGCAAGTTATTAGTTAGTTGTAGCGTAATGTTAACTTCTCTTCTCTAGTTCTATTCCAGTAAGCTCGCTAATCGTAGCAGACTACCTTATTACAGTAAACAGTATTCCAACTCAAGATCGAAGACCAATACCCAAATCTCAAACCTTGAAACTTAAATGTTTTGATTTTAGCGCACACCTAGTTGTCGTCTACATAGAATGCCTCCCCTATTTACTATAGTAAGTTTTTGTTCAGATCGCAGGTGAAAAGCCAAACGTTTGAGAACTGCTACTGGTAGCTGATAGATGGGAAGGGGGCAGTAGTTATTAGTTCTACAGCAGAAATCCATAGATCACTCAAAAGTAATAGAAGTCATTATCGCAAGGTAAGAATATATAGATTCTATTAAAACTCTCTATAATGCTCTTGGCACATCAAAAAATGATTCTGTGGGTCAATATATAGGGTATCTACGGCAGTATAGATCTACAAAATCTCATGACTAAAAACATTATTGTTACATAATGACGAAATATACAACGTATGTTTATCAATGTGGTTATACTCATGTTTCTCTCTAGAGGACTTCAATTGTAGTTTGAATATCTGCACAAGAAAATGGTTGTAGAAGCGAAAATTTTAGGTGTTTTCGCATCTCACTTAGGACTACATATAGGCAGAGTTTCAATAAAATTCGTGATGTCAATTGAGCAAGGTTGACTGTGTCTATCTCGCGATGACGCCTATATAATAAAACTTTTGAGTCATAACAAGAAATTTCTGCTAATAAAATTTTTAATCACCTGAATAGAAAAACAGAATGACCCTTTCTTGCATTACGCTTATTCACACAATAATTTTTGTTCCAAAGAACAATAATAATGTAGATATCATAATCAGAGAACAATTACTCTCAGTAATTGTATTACACACACATGCTAGATCATTATCACAAGAGTGTTCCTGATCATACATTCTTTAAATAATTTGTAGGTCTTATAAAATTTGAAAAATCTTCTATTTGAATAATCATCTACATGGAATAAATTCAGACAAAAAAAAATCATTTCAATAACAAAAAATGAATACATCATATTGAAAAATTTTATTTTTAAAAAATTGTTTCAGGTAAATCATAACCATCAACAAAAGTAGCCCATTTATTTTTCGGTATATTTTTAAATACTTTATTTAATCGATTGGATTTGTTTTTCTTTGCTACACGTATAAATATTTTTAGAATTCTGTCGGGATATTTTTCATAAATATTTGCATAAATTTCTGGATCTTTTTGAAAAACATCACCAAATAATATAAATTGTCTTGATCGTGTTTCTTGAAAAAACATATATAAAATTTTTGTTTTTTGTTTTATGAACGATTTCGAAGAGAAAAATTGAAAAAAATTCGAATCCAACCATGTAAAATGTCGCATATGATATGAACCTAATGGAAATTGTTCACGTTCAAAAAATTCACGTAAAAATGGATATAACTGATCGGGTGAAGCCGTTAAATAATGAAATGTTGCATTATATAATGATTCATAATGACGATAACGTTCAGACATGCCCGATACTGCTCTATATTCACCAGAAAATGTATTTCGAAGTATAGAACGAATACTTGTTACACCAGTTATTTTAACTGTATCATCCTATTATTATTAACAGATTTCAGTAAATCATATTCTGTTTTATAAATACTTACAATGTCACTAATTATTGAGATTCCATTATCGTCACATAAAAAAATTTCACCTCTTGTTTGAATTGTTTTATCGAATGTTGATGCTGAATATTCTACTTTTCCTCCACTTCCACCTGGAATACGAAATTGTTCAATATCATCGTTTGATAGTTTAAATTGTTTTATAATTAAACCATCTTTATCAGTTTTTGCGCACATTTCACGTTTCAAACCCTCAATACATAATGGTGTATTTCGTTTGCCACTTGCTGTAAAATAAGATACACGTTTTTCTTCTGCATCACCAACAGCTGTTGAAAGAGCAGATGTAGCAAGTATTGAACGAAATGGATTTTCTCGAAAAAGCCAGCCTATAATAAGCAAAATTTTTCTACAAATGTCTACTAATAAAACAATATATGTAACCTTGAGCATAAAGTATCCAATCATCTGAAGGTTGAGCAAGTGCTGTTAATTCCATAGTAGGTGAATGATAACGAAAAGCGACCGAGGGAACAAGTATTAATTCTGTTTCACTTGATATTAGAAAATGATATGTTAAAGCACATTTTTCAAGAAGAAAAAGAAGAATAAAGACGTTAATGCATTTCCACATGGTTATGTTCGTTCACTCCTATAAGCAAATTTAAATATATGGATAAGAATTTATTTATTTCCTCGTTTATTTTTTTATCCCGATAAAATAGCTCTAAGGTAACAAATAAAAATAAGATAGGACATAAAGTGATGCTTACATTCAATAGCGATGATTAAAGATGAAAATGTTTGTTAAAGCTCTGATCCAATTACAAACACATTTTATCTCTTTATGTAGACATTCGTTATCAGTTAATGATGCTATGTTGTTATCGTCGAGTGTGTGTACCTATATTTCTTTCTTTTCTCTTATTCATTTTCGTTTACCCATGTTGAGGCATGGCTATTGATTTCTTTTTTCTGTTTTCTTTTCGTCTTACTGTTATATATATATTCAATTTATGGGTCACAGAGAATCAAAACTTTATATTTCATAAAAAATAGGATAATAAATATCAAAATGTCGAATGTTTATTTTTGTCTTCGTTTTTAAAAAAAATAATGATTCCACTAAGTAAACCTTTTTTGTGGAAATTGTCAAACCAAATTTATTTTAAAAATAGAATAAAAGTTATTCTTACTGATGATAAATTCATGTTAGAAATGTACAATCTAAAAATATGATTAATCATCAATTAATGTATAAGTCAAGAAATAACTACATATGAAATCATTTGAATAAAAACATTTTTAATAACTGCCGATATACTGAGGTTCGATATGATTACACAATGGTATTACATATAATTTTTTGTATTACATTTTTTTCGTCAGTGATCTGACTGATGATAATCGGATGTTATATTTATTGTCTCTAACAGAACAAGTAATACGTCTTCTCTTTTTATAAGTTTCGTAGCATAAAAAAGTGTGTAGATAGGAAAAAAACAGATGTCTCAGAGACAACTCTTTGGACTCTTACTTCATTCTCATCTGTATTCATATATATATCGTAAGTGTAGATTTTATTATATTGGTTGATACTTAATATGTTAATTGTTAATTTTTTTATTTTGATACTAGACAGTAAACTTTTAAAAATTTAAAACGCTTATGAATAATACAAATTTTCTCGACAAATATATTTAATAATTTCATATACACAACATAGTAGTAATATTAAAATACCAAATTGAAAAAAATTCAATTTTATAGATCACGAGTCACAAAATTGAGCATTTCTACGTTTTATAACAACAACCACAGGCAATTTCAGACTAATAGAAAAATTGAAGAATAGTTACAACTGGCCATTCGATAGGTTTTTCGATGCATCGATTCCAGCTTCCAGTGGATATCGAAATTCTATATCGAGCTCTCCATTTGACACTTTCCGATAGAGCGAGGGCACGGCGTTGAGCCATTGAGAAGCGAATTTTCCGACCATTCAAACGATTGTTTCCTAGGGGATCGAATTTTGTTCAGCAGATACCTTGTTCTCGAGTCATCGAAATCTATCGGATATAGATAGTTCGAACATAATTACTGTTTACGATTCAGTTTCGTCGGACATTCAAACTAAATATGTACTATTACTTCTTCTTTGAAAGTCATTTCGTCAATTCATAAAAAAATTATTACCTAGACGATTGTATTTGTTATATTAACATTGGCTACTTATTTTTAAAAATTAAAAATTACATTTTTTTATCTAAGGAAAAAACTTTTACATGTCTCTAATTAAAAGAAAATTTTTTCTGGAATTTCAGGTCGCATAGGTAGAATTTGGATAGGTATTCTCTCGTTCAAGTTTCAAAACGTGCTATAGAAGTTGAACATGAACACCTGATAGGATGCAGTTTTCGAGTGTTCGAAATTCGATAGGTTGTCGACCAGTTCAAAATTAGAGCAGAATGAACGAAGAATACAAATTTCAAATTTTCGACTACTCGTCGACGCGTATTGTATGCATTTCTAAGCGTACCTGTGGTATTTAAAGATTGTTAAAATAGAACTTACTCCTAATCTATTCAAAGTTCATTCAATGGTAATAAATCATCTTCAATAATATCAAGGAATTGAATATGACTGGCATTATCTCAATAAAGAATAACCTTATTGCTGGTAGAAAACCGTTTACTCGATGATACTTTTGATGTGCATCTTTTTATACTTGCAATAAGATTTTCAAAAAACAAAAGATGAAAGAAAAAAATCTTATTTTTTTATATATGTTTTTTAATTATGAAATAATATCTTTATAACTTCATTGCGCAATAACAAGCTGGCTTTATCGATGCAACGAAACTGATTATTTGTAATGAATATGATTGGGAATCATGATGTATCAATAGCAACAATGATTTATATATTTGGCTAACCATTAGATTGAATGCAAACTTTTATTACAAATGAAAGTTTTTGATCTAAATTTTGTAATATGCAGTGTTTTACTGCACGTAACAGAAATTGAATGTAATTTCTAAAGTCTTTCGTAAATTTATTAAGTTTCGAAATCTTTTGAAACTAATGAAGTATGAATCTGAAGTCTCTTAAATTCTGCTGTTTAGAACAGATCAGATTGCAATCTGCATTCTTCAATATTTTGTTCTTATACTTGGTACATTTCATAACATACTGCTGATTACACCGCTAATTAAAATCGCTCTGGTGTTTTCACTTACGTCTATATCAGTGATATGTGGAGTCAAGCTTTTTCACCTCATCTCTGCACTGACAGCTTCAGAAAACTCACTAAGGAATGGTAGTTTACCGAAACGAGCAGTGGTCATAGTCGAAAAACTGTTTGCAAAGTCCATTCGAGCTAGTATAACATCTTTGTTTTTGTTTGTGATGAAGAAAAATGAAAAATAAATTTCGTTAGAGGATGACAACCTCCGTTTAGCCTCTCTCTCGTAAATTCAATACTGATTAACCTAAATCTGTTTGATTCAAAATGAAAGAGAGGCAATATTTATTCATATTTGAAGATTTTTGTCTAAATAAAAAAAAAGAAAGAAAGAAAAGTGAAAGATGAGGCGTAAACATGCGCCAATGAAATATATGAGAAAAATAACACGTGTTTGTGGATCCTCTTTTTTGATTTATTGTTTTAATTGAGGGATAAATTTTAATGAACAGCAGGAGCATTTGTTGTTGTCGTTGTTCCAGTATCGGCATTAATTTTTCTTTCGATATCAGCACAATATTTTTCTGGTACACCAGCACGACTAGAATAATATAAAAATTTATTCAAAAATAAGTTTCTTTCAAAAAAATAATCGCAAATGAAAACTAAACAAAGTATTTAATCGAGCTCAATACTTTTTTGATTTATTAAATAAAAGTTAAACGATTTTGTAAATATTGAATATATTTACAAGGTAAACCTAAATCTCTGAAAGATGAATCGTTCTTCTATGAAAATATCTAAGAAAATAAATAAAATTACCGTAATTCATTAAGTTTTTGTGTTTTAATTTCATCAAGACGAATTCTACGTAATCTTGCTTGTTCATCAAGTCGGACACCTTCATCAAAAAATGCAGCACGTTCTTCAACTTTTTGTTTTTCATGACGAACAATTTGATCACGTAAATCATCAGCAAATCTATGACGTTTTGAAACACGTTGTAATTCTTCATTTCGTTCTTTTTCAGCTTGTGTTAATTGTGCTCTAAATTTAATTAATTTAAAATTATTTTAATTAAATTTTTGTTTTTTTCTAATTTACTTAAGTACACGTTCAAATTCTGCTCGTTCTCTTGCAGCTTCAACAGCTAAATGTTGTTCTTTATTTTTAATTTGCCATTCTCGTGCTAAACGCATTTCTTCTTCAGTTTGTTTCTTTTTTAAAGCTTCAAATTTTTCTTTTTCTCTCCATTCTCGTTCACGTCTTTCTTGTTCACGTTTAGCTCTTAATGCATCTTTATCTGCTTGTATATCTCTTGCACGTTCTTGTTGTGCACGTAAACGTGCAACTTCTTTTTCTTTTTCTGTACGTTTACGTTCAATTTCAGCTTCTTGTGCAGCTTCACGTGCTGCTTTTGCTTTTTGAAATTCAAGTACAGCTAAATCAGCCAAACGATCTTGTTGTTTACGTGCAGCACGTTGTTCATCAATTTCACGATTAGCTTTCAAAAGATCTTGCTAGAAAACAAAATATCAATAAAAA